GATGTGCACTGCTGATAATTTCTCGCCTGTCTTTTCAATGTTCCATAGTAACCCCAATACTTTTTGATCTCTTGACGCACTCGCATCATTTTCATCAAAAACTTTTGTCACTTTCTTGGAATTGGAGGCGTATTCTCTCAAATTCATCGACATCTTGTTAAAATGTCCTTTGCTTTCTTTGTACAGCTCTTTCAACCGCTCTTCGTCGTTTGACACAATCATCAGATTATCAACGTACAAATTACTAAGAACTGCATCTTTCAGTTCTTCAGAAACTTCTTCTGTTTCTGTTTTGTGACGTATTGTTTGCAGAAAGCTAGGAGAGAAGGGGTGCACTTCACACATCACGGCCAAATCTTGGTAAACCGGAACATATCTCATCAAGCGAATGTTCTCTGGTGTTGGTGGTCGTGACGGATCTTTGGCAATACAAAACCGTGCATCAGTCCTCGAGGATCTTCTCTTCTTCTCGTAGAAGTACTTGATGGAAGGCTTTTTCCACGTCGCTTATCATTAAAAATTCTTTGCTCCGTGTTCTGATCAACAGTCCAGGGCTTTCCGGAATTATTGGGCGCTTGGGTCCCAAAAAAGACACTCATGATTCAGAGATAACTTTCCTCTCTCATGGCTAAGTAGCATTCTAGAACTACTCTGGAACTTGGCGTAGTTTTGACTCCATCTTGGTCATCACAACAAGGTAAGGGGGATCACGTAGGACCGTCCTTGGGGAGGTTCTCTTCTCACCTCTTCTACAGTACTCCCACCTTTTCTTTTGTTGTTCTGATTGATTCTGGTGATTGCTTCCCTACAGACTCACCTGAGGTTCTGCTTAAGCTGAATCCCACAATATGTGAAGTTTCCTTTAAAAAGCAACTCGAAAATTAGTCCCTAGTTCTCCTTGAACTCCTTCTCGAATAATTGGCGCAGCGGACAGCTCTTCCATCTTTCGACATCTTCCACATTTTTCGCAAAATGGTCGAATACATATTTGTCGTCTTGGCTTTCCTCGACGTCTGCACTGATGCCAATTTTCTCCATATTCCACATTGCGTCGATTCCACTGTCGAGCTTGTGGTCTTCAGGTGTCTTTTCAACTTTCTGTGTGAGTACTTTTCTCGATTCTTCTCTTTTGACACCGCATATGACATATCCAAATGTTGTCAGGACACATTGCAATCCACTTGGCAAGTCATATTTTTTCTCTTTCAAGTCAAGAGCATTTTGAGGAAGAACAAATCGATTTTCAATCAACCAGCTGGATCTCTTTCGATCTTTATTTCTACTTCCCCAAATTTATTCCTTTTTTCACTAAGAATTTTTTGTCACTTCTTGACAGTTTCAAAGTTTCAACTGGTGACATGATCTCGTCTTCGGTGAACAACAAACATTCCATCGTTTTATTTTGGTCAATCAAGTCAGTTCTGCTGAGACTTGTTCAGAGACGAGAGAATGTTTTAATCCCCCTGCTCCTGTAACAGTCATGTGAATGTTGTCTCTTATCACGGGTAGTTCGAGATCTTTGGCGATTTCTCTTTTAATGAATGAGTCTTCAGCTCCAGAATCCATTAACATGTCCAATGAGTACAATTTGCCCGTCTTTGGTCCCTTGATTATTGCCTTTGCCACCATCAGCAACCTTTCTGGGTCTTTCGTATGACCGCATATTCATCCTTGCATTCCTTTTTGTCCATGGTGGTGGCTCTCTTATTCCAGTTCCACCTTGTGACAATTGACATCTTTTTCGCTTTAATTGTTTCAAAACAGGTAATTGCTGTGTGACCTGTTTTCTTGCAACAATGACATTCGGGCTTCTCCGTGCAGTCTTTTGCTCTGTGTCCTTTCCGGGCACATTTTGCACAACACCCTTTGCTTTCAAGAGCTTCTTGTCTTGCTTTGCTTGTCTTAAACTTCTTGCATTTGACGGCTTGTGACTGTTTTCTTCACACGAGCCGAAGTATCATTGATTGAGTCGAAATATCATTGATTGCATTTCCTCAAACAATAGTGTTTTCTTGGACAATTGACATCTTTTTCACTTTTTCCCAAATTCCTTTTATGATGATCCTTTCATTCCCATAGGTTCTCTTCAACATTTCTATTGCTTCTTGAAATGTCGATCCATTGGGAGCATATCTCTCAATTAAGCTTCTTGGTGTTCCCGTGGTGTACTTCTTGAGGGCATTCTGTTTGTAAACCAACGGTGGGCTCCCGTGTCGATCACCGTCGATTTGAAAACTGTAAACCATTGTTGCCACGACCCCGGATCTCCGTCCCGCTGGATCCGATCAGGATCTATTTCAACGATTTCCTCACCAAATCACTAGTCTCTCTATCTCCATTTTGTACTTAGTTCTTGATTTGGTAGACATGACTCTCTCTTCGGCTGATTCTCAGATTTTCCCAGTTGCTTCAACACTTCAGAAGTGCTCGATTTGACTTTAAATGATATGTCTGGGATTTCAATGTTTTGGGAAGTGTCGTTGACTTTGGCTTTTGAAATCAATTCATGTTCTTTCACCCCGTGCGAAATTCGTAGGCTTTGGCTGCCGCTCTGTCGAAATTTGCTCTTTTTGTTTCACTTCTCTCTATCAAATTAGTCCTATAACCTCTTTGGATCAAACGGTCAAAAATCAATTCGAGTTCACTAAGCTGTACAATTCCTCGTCTCAACTCAGCTAGGATCTCTTCCACTTCTGTTTTTGCCAAATCCATATATTTTTGTACCACGTTCTCATCAGTCAACTCCACTTTTTCAATTTTTTTCTTTGTTTTTTCATTGAGGTGTTGATTAATTTGAACTAGTATGGAAAAAGGCTTCAAACACTGTCTCTTGGAATTCAGCTGACGTTAGCATTTTAGAAAACACAATGGTCGACAATCTCTTCGTGAGAAAAGAAAGCCCTTGATTGGACCAAAAAAAGAAAAAAAGAGACTCAAAAGGTTAAACCAGTTAAACTCACCTGAAAGTCCTTGTCTGGCCTGCGCACCAAAAATTAGTGGTGATTGTTGAGTTTAGATATAATCTTTATTACAGCAATAATAGTTGGTTCAGTGGTTTGGTATTGGGAGAGTAGAGACTCCAAGGCACACACCTCGGCAGCTCGTTCACATTGCTTTTATACGGAACTCGGGCGTTCTTCTCGTCTTCCACACAATGGAGTTGAACGGGATAGCGACGCATATTAAATCTCACACAATAGGCGTTCATCCACATAGGTGTCTAGCTGGCCATTTCCATACGTGGCACTCTCGATCACGAGATCGTCACGACAATCTTCTTGACTAGCAAAACTTTGGGGTTGCATAAGTAAACAAGTAGGTTAAAGCTCATCTTTATACCAGTTTCAGGCTTCATGTCATTTTAGTTTCGATCAATTTCTCGTGTAATCAACTGCTTTAAGATGCCTAAACGCATTTTAACGTTATATAGGCAAAATCAATTGGTGTTCAACCTTCAACTGATCAACACTACAATCTCAGCACTCAATACTTATCAACTTATCAAAACCTAAATCTTCTTTGATAAATTTTATCGTTTAGGTTCCCTTTATCTGGAAAAGCACCGAGCATAACACCACCGAGAGCAAGTGTCGACACGTTCGCTCGGATCGACCGAATCGACAAAAGCGATGTTTCGTGCACGATTTTGTAAGTTCAAAGCACAAAGCTTTTTGCCTTTTTGCCCACAAAGCCTTTTTTGATCTAATAACATCAAAATCTTTAGATCTTTAGATCAACATCAAAAGTTATCAGGTTTTAAAACAGCTTTCCAATTTTGTATCATCCGCTAGCAAGGTTTTGTTCCTTTTTCTAACATCTAGTTCTAAAAAGCTAGAAGACTAGAACGAATCATCAGCTAACAAGATTCTGTTAGCTCTGATCCAACTGGAAGACTTTAAACCGATTTCATCAAAGAAACGACTCTTTAAGCCGAATACAATTTTGTCTACGAATCATAGACAATATTCAGTACCAAACGATCAATTAGATTTCGATCTGTAGGAAATTACATTACGAAAATGTCATGACAGAAAGAAAATTTGTAACATTATCCGTTTTTATAACCATTTGACAATTCTTTCAAAACAATGCTCACAAGAGAGCCTTTTACCAAATGACAAATTTAGATACTAAAATTCTAAAAAAAAAGTTCTCAGTAACTAATATTTGTGTAATACTTTGGTACTTTTCCGTTGTACATCCGCAAAAGCGTGGGTGGGAAACAGATGTCAGTAATGTGAGTACATGGAATAAACTCGTAGTAAAACCGACATATATTTCTAGATGTAAACACTTGCAACACGGGGAATCCGTGCAAGAATGGTGCCGCGTGTGTGATGCTTTACAGTGGGAAACAGGTGTAAGTTTTTGAAAAAGTACTGTAGCTGGAGTATTGTAACTGGGTTGCTGTAGTCGGAGTACTGTAACTCAACTCACTTTCAATATTTTTAACTACTGTAGGCTGAAACTTTCAGCTACTGTAATTGCACAGCCGGCTGGCAAGGGGCCAATTGTGATGTGGCAACGTTGACTCGTAAGTTCCACCTTTGTGGGGTGTACTTTGTGTCCAAAAAGCTTGCAAACGCACCTTTTCTGGCACATTTCAATGAAGAACTTTCAACCACTCTTTCAGCAAACGACAAATACATGAATTGCACAAAAATCGACTGGTCAAAGGAAAGCTCAAGTTCGAACAATTGCACGAAAGTGACGAACAGCAACTATCCATCGCTTTCATTGTGAGAAAAGTTTTGGGTAAACAATTGAATTTAAATTTTCAGATGTCGAAGTCAATTTCAAACGAAGTTGCTCTCCGGGCAATCGTTGGCCTATTTTTGTGGGTTAAACTTTAAAGGAATCCAACTTTTTTGGAAACTTACATCAAATCAGTTCCAAACTTGGAGATACTGTAGTGCCCTAGTTTTCTTTTCACTACAGTATGACCATTAGCATTAAAGGGTAATTTCTAGTATGACAATAGTCTACAGGCACTACTGGTACTGGTAGACTGTATACTATAAAGTCTAAAAGTACTGTAGACTCCTAGTTTCTTAAACTGAACTTAATGGGAACTTAATGGGAACTTAATGAGAATCTAATGGAAACTTAATGGGAACCTAAGGGAAACTTAATGGAAACTCAATGGGAACTTAATGGGAATTAAATGGAAACTTGATGGGAACTTAAGGGGAACTTAATGGGAACTTAATGGGACCTAGAAGGAAATTTAACGGGAACTTAATGGAAACTTAATGGAAACTTAATGGAAACTCAATGAGAACTTAATGGGAACTTAACGGGAACTTAATGGGAACTTTTAATGGGAATTTAATGGAAACTTGATGGGTATTTAGCTGTCAAAAGTAAGAATAGTCAAAGGTTTGTTAGATGTATTTAGTTATCAAAAATATTATATTTCGCTCACCGATCCGGACATTGTCTCCATATTGAAGAGAAGAGCATAATTGACGAGTGAGGCGGAGAAGCTGAAAAGGACATTTGGTCAACAAAGTTAGGAGTTTTGTAGAAAAGTTTAGTAAATTGATATTGTCTTACATTTTAAAACTATAAGTTTAGTTGAAGTTAAATTCCCAGAAATCACTTTAAACTTTGAATCAAGAGAAGAAGAGGGCCTTGAAAAAAAGAAAGTTTATCTAAGAAAATTAGAATAAGCTCTCAACTTTTGATCTTTGATCTTGAATTAAAACAAAAAAAAAATCTGAAATTCGTTCTTAAATTTGATTTTTTTTACCAAGAAAAGAGTGAAAGCGTTTAAAATTCTAAGCAAACAAGTCAATTTGAGAAAATTTCAGGACAATAAGCAATCAATTAGGCGCCAGGAGTCGGGTGCATTTTGGAAGAGAAAATGAATGAGAGAAATGGAAAAGGAAAAGACAAAGGACAGAGGGAAAGGATCGATGAGAATGCACCCATATCAAAAAAGGAGAAAGGTGGGATTGGGAAAAAGAATGGCGAAAAAAGGAACAGATTGGGGTCATCATCCGTGCCTTCCCCGCCCTCCCTTTGCACCCCAGCTTGCACCCAGCCGTGCACTCGCCGTGAACTCTGCAAGTACCCCCGGTGCAGCCATCAAAATTTACCCTTGATGTACTCAGATAATTGAGTGGTTCTTGGGGCTCACTGGTCTTGAGGCTTTTATTAGTTGATTTCAAAAAGGAGAAATCGAATTGGCGCTAGGTTGGTAGGTATTGGTACAATGAAAATTTACACCTATCCTTGCTTGACATGAAATTAACAGATATCTAATGATAAAATGCACTTTGTGAAAAAAGGATTTCCAAATTTCGGAGGAGCAAACCTCTTTTACTTCCTTTGGACACCAAAACAGTAAAGCTAGAGATTGGTGCAACTGCAAAAGTGAAATGAAGACTTAAAATTGTCAATTTTTGCACTCTGATATAATAAAGAAGTGAAGCAATTGGCAAGGAAAATAGATTTCCGGTGATGGGACTGAACCTTCGACCTTTTGTTTTCCGGACAATTGTTCTAACCACTGAGCTATTCGGTACCTTAACTTGCCAAGAGAAAGAGGGCAAGACAAGGAGGAAGAAGAAAGAAAGAAAGTAGGAAATACCCGGATCTTTAGTCTATTTTCTGAAACAATTGTATGTTATTTCTAGACAAATATAACTAGCTCAACTTGTCTTACATTCTCTCTGCAAAAAATTTAAACACCAACTGTTGTATCAAGTTGAAGAACAGAAAAAGTACTAGAAGAAATCATTGAAAAAAAAATTCAATTGAGAAATCGGTGAACTCGATGTATTGGGTTCATGGTTGGTTCCAAGTGCACTGAAAGAAAAGAAAGGGGAAATGGATGGGGATGCACCCTGAATGCACCCATTTGCTCCCTCTTTTCCCTTTCCTTTCTTCACTTATTTTCTCTTTCAAAGAGTCGATGTTGGGGGCACAACGCACCCTGGCTGCACTCGGTGCTCTCATTCTTTTTCACTATTTTTTGCTGATATCCTTCTCTTTGATTTAATTTTCTCTCTTAGGTTCGGGGATGGTTTTTGAAAAACAAGGTGCAAATGACTAATGATAAAAACTAGGTAAGGTATTTGACTATTAAGATGAATCTTAACCTTTTAAAACTAGGTTACTTTTCAGGAGTTCATAGCCAAAATGCTTTCGTCTCGTTTTGAGCAATTTGAAGGGCAAATGGGTAGACCAAAAAGAAAACCTCTGCACAAATTCAAACCTTCTGAAAATCCATTCAAAAATCAGCCAACAAATTCTAGGAGGCTCCTAGGACTCAACAAATTCTAAAAACACGAGTCCAAAGAGAGCAAATTTGGAGCTCTCATTGTCAGAAGAACCATTCTTTTTATTCTAAAAATTCTTCAGTAAATCTAATCCTATTTACTCGAATGATATCTTCGATAAAGAATAAAGAAAAATTTGTGGTCAACAAGCACTCAAGACTCAAGACAGCAAGTACGAATGCATGGAATTGAATGCACCCAGCTTTTGATGGATAAATGTGTTTGGGGGTGTGAACTGGGTGTGTCACGTCCCTAGAATGCACCCGCCGCGAACCGGCCAATGTCCGGGCAATGATTTGAGTACGAGGAATGGGGAAAAGGAGATCAGATCTGAACTCATCCCCAAAATGCACCCGATTCCACGCAAAAAAGTTGACATCCAAGATCGTCAGTGAATAGGAATGGATTTGCAGAAGAAGAATGGGAGTAAAAGAGGCTCAAAATTTGCTCTCTTTGGACCCGAGGTTCGGTGAACTTTTCCGAGCATAAAGAAAGTACGGGAATAAAATTTTCGAGTGCTGGAGTGCTGATAAAAATCATTATTTTTGAGTGCTGGAGCTAAATTCTAAAACTTTTCCGGGAGTGGTTGATTTCTTAGAAAGTTTGCAATTTGCAAGAATTCACTGGCTTATTATTTGAATGAGTTTGAATGATTGGCCAGCTGATACTTGTCCACTCAATTTTTTTGATCTTGTTGGTTATATCCCAATATATGTTATTTCTGTGAACAAATTTCGTTTGTTGCTGAGTTAAACGGGTCTACAGGGTGCGGCAGAATTATAGGTGCAGAGAGTGTTCCATTGGAATATGACCAAAACGAAAAATTCTGCTACACAAAAACAGTTTTAACATATTTATTGAACTTAAATTAACAACTTTTATTGATCATATTCGAATCTTCCTCCTTCGGCGTCGATGCAAGACTTTGAGTCGGTTGAGTAAAGGCGTCGACCGTGGCGACTAAGCAGGCGGCGTCCAGACCCCAGGCTTTCAAGAGAGATTTCTTCAAACTTTCGAGGTTTTTGTGAGGTTTCTGAATGTACTGGTTTTAAGAACAGACCAGACCGAGAAATCCAATGGATTGAGGTCTGGGGAGCTTGGGGCCATCGGTTGAATGCAATGAAGTCGGGAAAAGTCGCTTGGCAGAAATCCTGAACAATCTGGGCTTAGTGAGCGGGAGCACCATCTTGCTGGAAGGTCCAGATGCGATTCGGGAGCGATTTTATCTAGGAACAAGTTCTTTCTTTAGCATGCCCAAGTACGTGTTCGCATTAACTTGGAATTCCTTGTGCACAAAAATCAGTGGTGTCTTGCTGGAAGCCGTCACACCGCCAAAAACCATGACTGAAGCTGGGTGGCCGCTGCGACCGATGTAACATTTGGTTGAGTTTTCGACCAAACTCGATCGTTCTGCTTGTTACCGAATCTTCAATCTAAAAATTTTCTCATCGGTGAACAAAATGTTCTGTGGTCGATTCCGTTGAAATCGAAGACCAGGCTTTCACATCGATCTTTTCTCTTCAATTTGGCGTCTGCCGAAAGCAGAGCGGAATGGTTCTTCTTGTAGGGCTTGAACTTGAGCTTGTCCCCTGATAATTCGACGGATTGATCGATCGGATACACCCATATGTTTGGCAATTCTTCAATGGGACTACTGGCTTCTTCGCAGGCGATCCCTGACCTTCTTTGATGTTGCTCTTTCGTCACCAAGGATGGACGAACACCTCCTCGCGGCCGATCAGACATTGATCCCAACTCTTCGTTGTAGCGCGTTGAATGGCTCGGTTAACAACGTTTCGATGCACTCCCAACTTTCTTCCGATCACGGTCGCCGATTCGCCCTTCCGATGAAGTTCCACGATCAATTGTCGATGCGGGGAAGCGCGAACCATAGCTCTGAAACTCAAAAGCGGTAAAAAATGAGAATTTACAAATACAAATTCAATCATAAAATAAACAACAAAAACATAAATTCGAGTGCAAAATCAAGAGCGAAGGCTCGTTTTCCGTCTTTATGTCATGTACCTATAATTCTGCCGCACCCTGTAGAATCGAGCAAAGAAGATAAATCTAAAGCAAAATGACTCAATCAATCATATCAATAGCTCTCAATACAATATATAGTTAATTGATTTTGTAGAGATCACCTATATCAAAGTTGGGGCAGAGTTAACCTCGATTTCAAAAATTAAAGAAAGAACTTGATGTTGGATGTTAGCAAGAAAAAGAATTCAACATCACGCCAAAAGAGGCAACAAAGCTCTCCAAAATTGGTCTCATTGAGCTGGGGAATTGATGGGAATTAAACATTCAAGCAAATGAGCAAAAAAAACTGGCAATGTACTCAGTTCTTGTTACAAGTTCAGGTAGGCTTGCCGATTTGTACTTAAAAATGTGCATTGCCGCAACTTGCAACTCCAATGGAAGAACTGTTCTCGCAAAAGTCGGCTCTTT